AAAAAAAAGAAGTATATACAATTGACAAATTTTTTAAAGAACTTAATATTAATGAAATATCAAAGCACAAAAGAATATATAATATTAACTACCTTATCCAAAGCACTATTACTTCTATTAAAAAATCCCAGGTAAGTATGTCATCTTCTGAACATACACAATGAATAATCTCAAAGGCTATTTTCTACTCCCAATGGTTGCTTACTCTAGATCACTAACAGAAGTTGCACTAAACAAATACCTCTGCTGCAGATCTCTGTCTGCCTTGCCTCTGCGATCTTAATCCACATGGAATATACTATTACTCTAGCCAAGAAGAAAATAAGTCTTTCTTTTTAAGGGTTTTTTTGTTTGTTTTACCTTTTACTATATATTTTTTTTACTAAGTTAATGGGCAAAAGCATAAATATTTGCCATTAACTGTATTTTAAATTTCATTGCATCATTTCACATAATTTTTATTGTTTCATTAGGGTTTAAAAGGTAATAATAAAACTCACTTCCCACATACTAGAATTAATTTTTTTTTTTTTTTTTGAGACAGTGTCTCTCTCTGTCGCCTAATTTGCAGTGCAGTGGCATGATCACAGTGCACCATAACCTCAAATCCTGGACTCAAGCAATCCTTCCATGTCAGCCTCCCAAGTGGCTGGGACTACAGGTGCAAGCCACCACAGCCAGCTAATATTTATTTTGTTTTGTTGAGATGGGGGTCTTACTATGTTGCTCAGGTTGATTTCAAACTCCTGGCCTCAAGTGATCCCCCCACTTTGGCCTCCCAAAGTGTTGGGATTATAAGCATGAGCCACAATGTTTGGCCCAATATTTTAAAATAAAAAAATGAAACAAATACAACAACTAAGATGCCTATCTTTATACTACAGAATTGAAATAGAAAATCTGAAAATCTGAAGCCGTTGCTCACTATCAATAGCCATGGAGAGTTCATCTTTATTATTTAAATTAGTCTTACTGTCAGAAAGGCACTTATTAGCCAATCTGTTAAACAGAGTGAGGTTACTACTGATTCAAGACAGACCAGTGTTGTAATACCGTGACCCAATCTCTAATTTTATAGGTGAGGTAACTGAGGTGAGACAGGTTATGCAACATACTCAAGATGACCACACCCTGAAATCACCAGATGCAGAGCAGAGACTCCACTCCAGATGTTTTGTTCCCAGTCTCCAATGTGTTCAATCATACCATGCTGCCCTCTAAATTCACTACTGTGGAACAACTGATTTAGCCGGGCTAGAGCATATGAATTATTCTACATTAGTGAACTTCCCAGATCCCTGTAGCTTAACTCTTTAAATACCAGTACTTTTTAAAGTTATCCATTCTTTTGCTAGAAACCTCTCTAAAGTGAAAAAGCACAACTCTAGATTC